TCGGGGCAACATCAGAGAATTCTTTGTCAGGAACGTCAGTGTCATCCCCATGTTTAAATTGCTCCGTCGAAGATTTTGCAATTGAAGGTCCCCACTTAGAAAAGGTTTCACTCATAAAGAGTGTCAAAAGCGATGAGAATCCCAGTAACAAATTGGGGTAGCACACAATGGAGGCTGTGGATCATTCAAAATTAAATATCGTGGAGCATCTAGCTAATAAATCAGTTGATCATTCTGATGGTGTTAGCCTCAGGGCCTCGGAAGATGCTCTTATGATGGGTCTCATTACTTCTCATGGTTCATCTAGTGACACATTTCAATTAAAGGAAGATACCCAAGTGGTGCCCCCTATCCCTGCGAAATTAAGAACTAATCGTGTGGCGAAAAAATGCAAGACAAAGAAAAGAGTTCCGAATTAAGTGGCAAGGAAACATTGATTTAAGGGAAGGAAGTGTTGTTTTGGTTCATTGAAGATAATTTATCGAGCTGACTTTTTTGGTGATTTTGATACATGTTGGTATTTTGTGGAGTTCCCTTTAGAGGTGGATGTTTTTGGTTTAATGGTTTTAGGTGTTGCTTTCATGTATGTTATGTCATTAAATGTTGGGTTGTTTTCCTATTGATGGAGGTTTATCTTAAGTAAAAGGTGATTGCCTCTTGATTTTTGTGGTCAAGAAGGCGAGAGTTTTAGGTGATTATGTTTTTTGTAATAGCGTTTATCCTCGTTTGAGGGTATTTCGTGTTTTCATATGTAATGAGGTGTTTTATTCAATAAAATATGAGGTACTCTTTTCTTCCTTCCTATGTTCGTTAACATACTTCTTAGTATGTGGACGAATACGAAGGGAGTTTTTAATGAGACCTCCAACTTCTATAAGAAAAAAAAGAAATAAAGCATGAGTAGTCCAAACTAGCAGGCAGTGTGCCTACCAGAAAATGCTGGAGAACACTTAAATAAGCTACATAAGAGAGAATTTCAACAACAACAATGATGCTAGTACGGATCGAGTTAAATAGATAGCAATGACCCAAAAGGCAATCATTCCAGAAAACAGAACATGGACCCCGTAAGTTGTAATATCTTCAGTTTCACCAAAATGAGTAAACAGTTCATTTAATACATAAACACGATAAAACAACTTAACTGAAATCCATTCAAAGGTATAATAATTCTACTAAAAAGAATGATTGAAAAATGAAAATAAAGAAAAAAAAAGATCTTACCATTTTTGTTATCGAGAAGCAATCTACCCAGACAATATCAAACTGAAGATTTTATCAGAAAACCTATTAAAAAAATAAAAATGAATTTAGGATAAGAACGAGCAAAACTTAGGAGCGGGAATCAAGATATAAAACGAAAATCATATAAACGATCTATACTACAACAGTAATCTGCAAACAAAACAAAAGCGGATCGGAATTTCTAATCAGCAAAGAGATCGGACACCTCAGATCTGCACATCAACATGCTTGTAAATTCAAATATCAGTAACACAGATGGGAGAATGCTAAGCAAATCGACGGGAGAAAAAACAGCTACAGCACTCTCCACTTAGAAGTGCTTAAATCAAAATATGAAACAGATCTGATAATTTCATCCTCTAAAACGTCCAATTGAGGTGACGGAATTTAGAGATATGAGAAGAAGCTTACTTGGATCTAATCTGGGTCTCTGTATCCTCTTCTTCAGTATCGCTGAGATCGATTCTTGAGACCCAAAGTGGAAGAAGGTCAATATTCTTTCAACCAATATAACAGCGTTTCGGTAGATCCGTCGGATTCTATTCGGACAAATTTTGGATAGTCATGGGCAGGTCGACGGATTCGGACCCTGAGTCATTTTTATTTGGGTAAATTACAAAAATAGTCCATCAACTATAAGATATTGTTTTGAGTATTTTAACTATTAAAAAATTATAAAAAAATCCTTTAATTGTAAGACACTGTTTTTTTGAGTCTCTAACTATTAAAAGTTATAAAATGGTCATCTGACTATCATATGTTTCTAACTCATCATTTTTCGTTAAAAAATTGATAGTGGTAGACGTTAACTTGTTGATTAAAACATAATAAAATATTATCTCAAAATCTCAAACAACTATAGAATCCAAACGATTATTAGATCAAATGTTATCCTATCTCAATTAGCAGGTTAACAACTAACTCAAACAATCGCTAAATATTTAACAATAAAGAACGAGTTTGAACTGATCGTCAATTTTTTAACGAAAAATGACGAGTTTGAAACATATGAATAGTCAAGTGACAATTTTATAATTTTTAATAGTTGAAAAACTCAACAAAACAGTGCCTTATGGTCAATGAATCACTCAACAAAATATCACTCTATACTCAAGGGACCTTTTAAATATTTTACCCTTTTATTTTGAAATTTTGGATTTGGAATAAATCAGTTTAGATTTTTTTAAAGGAGGAAATTAAGTTCGATTCAAATTTAGGATGGAAAAGATTCAACCTAGTCCAACGTAATATTATAATTATCTTTTATATGTTTAAGAATAATTATAATAATACTCCTCTCTATATTATATTTTTTCAATTAAATCCTTATTTACTTAGTAAAAAACAATTATATATATCAAGTCAGGTTGAATGAGAATTTTCATCTAAAATATGATGCATGTATACACAAGTGTCGGATACGGACACTTCATTACACAATGAGGTAGCAAACAACATGGTTGATTCTCAATGAGATATTTGTTGCATTGGAACGTTTGATCTTAATTCCGTCCCTTTGATATCATTCACCTCCTTCGTGCTAAGATCTCAGAAATGTTGAGGCCTCTGCAAAATGCTTGATGGTAGAGCAGCCTGGTTTGAATCTCAGACACAGATGGGAGCCATGACAATATAGCTATGGGCACGAACACTATCATGTCTTCCTCGTATGCCCTTGCAAGCTCCATTATTAATTCCCAACATCCTGAGCTACTTAAAATAACATAAAAAGTACCGAGGCAAGAGTAGTCGGTGCCTATGTTGCTCCCACTCTTCATTTGCTTTGGAGCATCCGTGCCTGGCGCAAATGTCCGACACATATTTGGACATGGGTACGTTGCATGAACCTCCAAGGGCCAAATAAATGCATGGAAAAACTTGGGAAAAATTAAACATACCCATGTTGATACATGTGCATGCCCGACACTTGAACCAGAGTCTGCGTAACATAGGGCAGTGCCCACTAGAGCATATTGCCAGCTCTTTTAACATGAAGCTATGCTAACCATGTCTCTCATTAGACTTTCAACAATTAGATCACAACTTCTTTTGCATACCTTTAAAACCAAAAGTGCTGAGTTTTACACTCCGTGTTAAATTTGAAATAATTTTAAAGTTTGAAGGATTAAATTATTGATTTATTTAAAATTAGGACTAAGTTTTATAAATATTTATGTAAAGAGGACTAAATATATTATTGTACAAATTTTCATTATATTCTTTTATTCTTATTTCTTGAAAATAGGGTTTGAATTCCTTTAAGCTCTGTAATAATGGAATGCATATGTCCGTCTGCAAATTTCAGCTCAGTTGGTAGAGCACAAGGTTCTTAACCTTGAGGTCGTGGGATCGAGTCCCATGGAGGGCATTTCATAATTCGGAGGTCTTCTACGGAAGCTGCTCTCAATCTGGTATTGGGGACAACCTACTATCATACCTCCCCCTTACCCCATTACATATGGGAACAACAAGGGACAACCAAATTAATGGTCCCGTTAACCTTTTACGATATAATATTTTATTGTAAGTTTCATTTATAAAATTTAAAAAAGATAAAAATTTATAAAATTTTAAAAGATAAAAATATTTTATCACTAATATATATATATATATATATATGAAATTAGTTAAATTATAAAAGAATTTAAAATTTTATTATTTATATGAAACACAAAATAAGATAAACACAAGTATAAATATTGGATGATAGAGCTTAGGGATGGCAACGGATCTTGGATCCGACCCGAATCTATAGATCCAGATTCATTTTAAAAGGTCTGGATCCTGAAATTTTGGAACCAATAGATTCGGACCGGATATGGATCCTCTGATTAAAGTACGAATTCGAGTTCAGATCTGACACTAAGATACCGAGTCTGGACTCGTTCATAGAAAAGTTCACCTTTGATTTTAAAATATATATAAATGACATAATAGGTTTTAAAATATATATAAATATTTTATAGAGGGAGACGCTTGAGTTTTTATAGGGTTCTTTTTTTATAATTATTAATAGTTATATTATTTCTCTTCCTTTGCTTTAATTTTATATTTCACATTATTCTGTAATGTAATTTTTATATATTTATGACAAAGACACTTTTGAAAGAACACATACTTATTCTACTATTAATGAAGACCATGATGATGAAGGAAAGATATTATTGACATAATATATAAGAAAGTTATTATATTACATAACCTTAATATTAATATTTAAATTTCATAAATATTATTTCCATTAAACAAATTTTTCTCTTTGATTGGTTGTTGATGATTTAAGTAGTGACGAAGACTATCACTCTAAGAAGGTAAAAGTGTAGTACCCAGCTTGCGACAATAGAAAGTTTTATGATCTACATTTTTAACGTTTGTGTTATTTAAAAGACATTTGTGTAATTATGTTAGAGTTTTTTATAGACTTTCGTTTATCGTTTTTTATTCTAGTACTAGTTGTATTGAAATTAATCTTTCCTTCATTGGAGATATGATGTGAAATTAATCACTGATAATTTTATTACGTTAAAAAGTAGGTTGATTGATCTTTTTTTAATAGATTCATTTTGGACTCAGATCTATGAAATTCATTAGATCTAGATTTGGATCTGGATCCCAATTTACTAGACTCGCAAATCTAAGACGAATCTGAATTTGGGTCTAGCTTGATCTAGTCCAGATTTGGCCCATTGCCATCCCTACTGAGGAGCTAAACCAAACATAATATATCTTATTGAGCATTAATAAAGCACAACTCATAACATAAAATCACTCATTATATATCCATCCAAATCGTAGCAGAAACAAGCTGATGAAATTCTCCAAAAAAAAGGAACTGATAAATTAAACCAAATTAAGGTGTTGTTTAGTTCCTAGGCCTGAGGTGGCCTTCGTTGGCAAGCTTGAACAGATGGGCCTGAGCTGCTGCGGCACTGTTCGAACTCAATGCTGCAACAAAACTCTCCCGGACATGCTTGGTTGAGAATGGGAACCTTTTGTTCACCATGGAGTTGAGAAACGAAGCCGTCCCTTCTCGATAAAGTGCCCCGACCCCGTCATCATGTGTGTTCGAAAGTGCGTCAGGCAAGCTCATGGTTGAACCGAACCCCGGAGCGCCGGTCACTCCAAATTCACTGCCGAGATTACCCCACCAACCAACCAAGCCCCGTATCAGTGTTGGGTGACTCCTCCAAAAACTGAAAGTAACACAGTATAATTGATCATTTAATTTTATATCATATTTTATGATAACATTATAAATTATACATATATATGCACAATTACGGATTTTAATCAAATAACAATGACTTACTCGCATGTACCGCCCAAATGTAGATGTCCCGGATCGACATCCAGAGTGATTGGTGGTGGGTTTTCGGTGACCGGAGTTGAAGGAGAATGGTAGTTATCATATCCACCGTGTGAAGGTGAGTGTGACGGTACCGATGGAGTTGACGATTCATGTGGCGGAGTTCCACATTTCCCACCGGAAGGTTTCGGTGTTGGGTGGTAGTTACCATCGCTTCCATGCGATGGTGTCGGTTTAGGGTGGTAGCCACCCACGCTTCCATGCGATGGTGTCGGTGTCGGTCGTCGTAGCCACCACCGCCTCCATGTGATGGTGTTTCTTGAGTTTGAGGTGAGCCGCCGTGTGAGGGGACAGTCCCTGTATGAGGATCTGGTGTATGAAAGAAGAAGTTCTTTTGCTCTTCAAAGCCATTGATGGACATTACCGGAATGAGCAAGCTCTGACAGAGAAAACCAGCAACAAAAATCCAGATGGCCAAATCATCCATCCCACAGTTTGTTATAGGAATACAAGAAGAAGAAGGAATGGAGGTCAAAAGAAAGAGAGGGTGAATATATATATATAGGGAGTAAATAGGAACAGCTGAAGCATTGTGAGGTTAGTTGATGACAGCAACTGAATTCATATGCACTATTAATATTTCAGATCTCATAATAAACCTTTTCGGAGTGAATAAAAAATTGAGTTATAATATTTCCGGGTAAACTATGCGTTTAGTACATAAATTATCAGTTTTGATCTGTTTTAGTATCTAAGTTTTTCATTTTTTCAAAAACAATACCTAGAGTTTAATCTTTTTTTCATTTTAGTACACTATCATTAAAAACTTTCGTTTTTGTTTCATTTTAGTATACCGTTCAAAATTTAATATTAAGTTTTGAAAAAATGGAAGTTTAGGTACTAAAACGGACTAAAACTAATAGTTTAGGTACTAAACGTATTAAGTTTTTAATGGTGGGATACTAAAAAGAAATGAAAACAAAACGTAAGGTATTATTTTGAAAAAATCAAAACTAATAGTTTAGGTACTAAATACATATTTTACCCTAATATTTGATAATTTAAAATATCTATTATTTTATAGGATAAATTATGTGTTTAGTATCTAAACTATCAGTTTTGGTCCATTTTAGTACCTAAACTTTCAATTTTTTTTAAAACCATACCTAAAGTTTAGTTTTTGTTTCATTTTAGTACCTCGCCATTAAAAATTTTAGTTTTTGTTTCATTTTAGTACCCCGTTCAAAATTTAACGTTAAGTTTTGAAAAGATTGAATGCTTAGGAATGGATCAGAACTGATAGTTTAGGGAATATCTCGTTCTGAAAGCCGTCTTCGGAATATCTTTCTCCTGAATCTTCAATTGATGATAACCCGAACGTAGATCGATCTTCGAAAATACCGAAGCTCCTTTTAGTTGATCAAACAAGTCATCAATGCGTGGAAGGGGATATTTGTTCTTGATGCTCACCTTATTAAGCTGTCGATAATCAATACAGAGAGATGCATTGATCCATCATTCTTCTTAACAAATAACACCGGAGCTCCCAAGGTGATACACTTGGTCGAATAAATCCCTTTCCTAACAACTCTTGCAATTGATTCTTTAACTCTTGCAATTCTTTCGGAGCCATCCGATAAGGTGTCATTGCAATTGGAGCGGTTCCTGGCATTACTTCAATTTGAAATTCTACCTCTCTATCTGGAGGTAATCCTGGCAACTCAGTCGGGAAAACTTCAGGGAATTCTTGAACTATTGGAATCTCCTCTAGCCCTTTCTCTATCGCTCTTAAATCTATCACATTTGCAAGAAATCCTTGACATCCTTGTAACAATAGCTTCTTAGCTGACATTACTGACATTACATTTGCTAAAAGATTAAACTTTTCACTGCTCACACTTATCTCTGTTTCTCTTGGACTTTTCAGGGTTACCTTTTTCAATATGCAATTAACATCTCCATAATAACGGAACAACCAATTCATTCCCAGAACCACTTCAAACTCGTCAAAGGGTAATTCCATCAGATTAGCAGGGAATTCAATTCCCCGAACCTTTATGGGACACCCCTTACAGACTTTATTCACCCGAGCACTATGGCCTAAAGGAGTTGTTACTATAATCTCATTACTCGTAGCTTCTAAATGAATCCTCAATTCCTTTACTAACTTACTTGTAATATAAGAATAATTAGAACTCGGATCAATCAGTACCAATACTAATTTATCGTACAGTTGAAAAGTAACTGCTATAATATCAGGGCCATCACGGTCTTCACTTGTTTTTAGATGGTACACCCGTGCGGTTGACCGAACTTCAGGTTGAGCAGAGAATTCAGACGGGTTCCTTCCTCTGCCTCTTCCTCGTCCTCTTTGTGAGGAAGAACCAACTCTTTCAGATGGTGCAGGCTCACCAACCATCAATGGACAATCCCGGATAAAATGTTCGGCATCTTCGCATCAAAAACAAGTCCCAGCAGCCATCCGACAAGCCCCAGAATGGTTTTTCCCACAGTGCTGACACTGTCTCTCTTGACTCGAAGTAGATCTCCCAACACCATATCCAACTGACTACGTCTGTCTAGGTCTTGCCTGACTTGCTCCCCTAGCAGACGATGCAACTGATTCTGATCTAGCTTGTGATCGAAATCCTGAGTCTCTTCCCCTTTTTGATGGTGCTGAGCTAGAAGAAGCACCCGTTCTCTTTGATGTCTGAACTCTAAAATCCCCAAATCTCTCATTCTGAGCTCTTTCAAGAGCCTTGGCATGATTGATCACCTCTTGGAACGAGGACAAATTCAATACTATCAGCATCTCTTTCAATCTAGGGCGCAAACCCTCCACAAACCATTCATAAGCCTCTTTTTCAGTAGGCACAAGCTCGGATGCAAACCTACTTAACTTGTTGAACTCACATTCATACTCATATACAGAGCGGTTCATCTGTTTCAAATTCAAAAACTCCTGCTTCATCTGTCGAATAAATTGATCTCCAATGTACTTGTTTTTAAATTCATCTAAGAATAAAGACCAAGTCAATTGGTCACTGGGCATCCTCATGGTGACGTTCGTCCACCATATTCTCGCCTGACCCCTCAACAACGAGACAGCTCCATCTAACTTCTCCACTTCAGAAAAGTGGAGACCATCCAACATGATTTTTAAATCATTTAACCAAAGATCTGCCGCAACCGGACCTTCTTCGGTTTCTCCCTTAAATTCGGGAGCTCCTAAACCTCTCAACTCTTTTGCTATATTCATCATTTGAGTTGGTGGAGCAGGAGGTTGAAGACACGTTAGAATAGCGTCTAACGTTCTGAAGAACATATCTTGATCTTGCACAGGCACTCCTTGAGATGCCTGTTCTTCACCTTGCCTGGCCAGGACAGGTGAATTACTACTTTCAGCAGGCCTATCTTCTCCCGCTTCACTTCGGGAGCTATTATGTCCGGACATCTAATAAGAATAAACACATTGTTCTATTAGCAAAACAACATACTCATACTATACCAGATCAGAAGTTCTCACTATTTGTTGGCATGTATTCCATTTAAAGACTCTATAGACTCTGGTTTATGCCTAGAATCAGCTAAACCATAGCTCTGATACCATTAAATGTAACATCCCAACCCGTATCCAACCCGGATACGAGTAAGAGATATTACATTGACTTTTAAAACACAACTCATTACAAATAATAGCAAAATATTTGAACTTATATTACGAAAAATACAATAATATACATATGGTAATATAAGTTTACCAAAATATTCAGAGCATACACAACTTAACTCTTTAGTTACATGCCAACATCCATTTTCATAACAAAATGACCTACTGATTAAGTTGCTTCTGATCTGATAGTTGCAGGAGTAATATTGTCCAGCTGCTTAACCTCGATCGTCTACTTTATCGGATCCTACGTGTGAAACACTCACACGCTAAGTCATCGACTTAGTGATGCAATATAATAATAATATCGATAAATATAAAGTAATTGCCAAAATAAGATGGGTTGCAATGATAAGATGTATGTAAACAATGCAATAACCAGAACCATGTTTCTTACACATATACTTATCAAATTCACATTCATAAGTTTGCCTTAGTAAGTTCATTAGCCCATGGTACCATACAGAGAACCTAAGGTATGTGAGTATTGTGAGGTTGTGCACTTTGTTGTCACCATAGCTCATATAATTGCACATAAGTGCCACGTAGAATTACACCGGAGTGCCGCGTAGAATTGCACCGTAGTGCCATATAATAATGCCCATATGGACCACATATCATTCCTTAAGAATCATATACATATGCCAAGGATCAAGTATGTGTCTCACCAGACCTCATACATGTTCCAAAAAATACATATATGTCCCGAAGAACCACATATCATTCCTTAAGAATCATATACATATGCCAAGGATCAAGTATGTATCTCACCAGACCTCACACATGTTCCAAAGAATACATATATGTCCCGAAGGACCAAATAGACCCTCTGTAACATCCCAAAATACGGGTTAGTGACCACAATTATAAAATTTCAGAATATGATGATTAAAGTATAATGGTTTAATAGTTTAATGATTTGTTCGGAAATATTTCCTAAAAGTTTATAGTAATTATCCAAAGAATTAAAGGGCAAAATGGTCATTAGACTTGAAAATTATAATTAAATGATATATATATGGATAAGGATGGGAGATTTTCCAGAAAAATCTCTTCTCTCTTTTCTTCTTCATTTTCTCTTCTCCACGTGTGAAGCCAAGCAAAGGTGAGTTTTCTTTTGAGCTGATTATGTGCTGAAATTTAAGTTTAGTTTTGATTATTAGATGCTAAGTAAGATTAAGGAAGGATTAATTTGCTTTAAAACAACAAAGTGAAGAGTTTATGAGAATTTAAAGATTTGGAGTTTTTGAATGAAATATCGAAATAAAGTTTATATTGAGAATTGAAAGTTGAATTTGACTTGTCATCAAGTTAATTAAGGGATAGGAAGTGTTAGAATAGGAATTTGAACATGTTGCAAAACTAGTATAATTTTTGCAATTACATAGGAATGACTAGATTTGAAGTTAAAGAAGTGTTTATGGAATAGAAATAAGTTTAAGTATGTGTATTAAAGTTAGGAGTATTAAAGGAAGTGAAATAGGAAGGTTTGAGTTGAAAATTGATGATTTTCGAGCTTAGAATACAATTTATGGGTAGAGGGAACCGATACCCTATGAATGGGAATCGATTCCCCCTCTTGAACGAAAAATTTCCAGTATGTTCAGGGGGTATCGATTCCCCTGGGGGGGTATCGATTCCCCCCTAAATGAAAATATATAATTGATTCATTAAATCGGTTTAAGTTATTAACATCAAGTTTAAAGTTTAGGCTTCTGATAGTTGTTTTGAAATGATATATTTATGTAGATATTGAGCCTAAACAAGTTCCGGAATAATCAAAGGATTATAATCGAATCAAAGCAAGGCTAAGGTGA